AAAAACAGAAGGCGGGCCAGATTTGGCCTGAGGACTGTGTCTTCCCAACCTCTGCCTATTTTCAAATGAAACACCAAGAGGTTAAAATCTGGCCCCCAAATCTCACAGCTGATAAAAAATAAAATTGGATTTGAACCTAAACTATCTCCAGAAAATGTACTTACTCTTAACCATAAAACTATACTATTTGTCAGGAAGAAAAAAATTTAAAAATCAACAGAATGCTTTTGTAACTTTCTAGCTGTCTGATCATAGCGTTTTAGGGTTAACAGAAGACTTAGAGAACCGTCTAGCTTTAAATCTTCCAGGATCATATGATGGCCATGATCATGATAAAGACAAAAATGAACACTGTTCTCTGAGTGATTAATTCATAATCTTTTATATGTTTTATCTTTCTAAGTTCTTACTAAATCCTACGACTAGGCCCCTGTTTTGCAGAGGAAGTTTAAAAAGGGGAAGCCACAAGAGCTCTATTGTAAAACATGGTGATCATAGTTACATGGTAACAACGTATGTATTCTCAAAAACCGCTAAAAGAATAGGTTGTTAGTATTCTCACCGTTAAAAAAAAAAACAAAAAAAAAACTACACACACAGCAAAGCTGAGTATGTGAGGTAATGCAAATGTTAATTAGATCGCTTGAGCCATTCTACAATGTATACGTATTTCAAAACATGTTGTACAGAAAAAAATATCATATATATAATTTGTATTTTTCAGATTAAAAAATAGATGTAAATAAATTAATTAAAAGGGGAAGTCACTTCAACAAGGTTTTACAGCAAGTAACGTGAAGAGCTGCAATTCAAGTGCAGATCAGTGCAGCAAACTCACTGCCCACCAAAAACTTAAGCCTCTTCCCCACCCTCAAATCCAGAGTATAGATTTGTCAGGAGGAAGTGGCTTCCCAGAGACTACATTTCCCAACTGCCCTTGCAGTTATGTGTTATCATGTGACTGAATCCTAGCCAATAGAGTGTGAGGTGAAGTGATATGCACCACTTCCTGGTGTGGCACATATTAACCTCCCACCGTGGGACTCAGCCATGTTCTTTTCCCCCTCCCAGTTGGTTGAAATGTGAAGAACACCAGGATGACCTTGGGAGCTGTGTATGGAAAAATGACAGAGCTTCCCTCAGCCTGACGGTGCAGGATAGACACTCTTCAGACCTGTTTGCTCACCCTCTACTGATACATAAGGAAAAAATAACTCCCACTGTGGCAAGCCTGTGACATTCTGGAGGTGATCCTAACAACCACTAATGTTACCCTATTTAATACCATCAGCCTGACACTCAATCACTTTGCTAAATGGCCTTTGTATAGGAGGACAACTGAAATGGAGCTCATACTTTTCCTCTCTACACCATCACTGCTGACTAATGTCTTGCTCTCTATTTTCTTGTGGGACAAGATGGCTGGGTTCATTATGACCATGAGGTAATTTGGGTAAATTACCTACCTCAGGCTCAGTTCTGTTGATGCCCGTCAGGAATAGGAGGTGGGCCAGGAAGAGGCAGAGGGAGAACTGTAGGTGGAGGGAGGTGCTGGTGTTCTGGATGGACCGGCACAGGAGGAAGGTGAGGATGGCCAGGAAGAGGCACAGCAGAGAGATGGCCAGTCCCACCTGGGTGATTACAGTCAGCACAGGGTCCTCCTGCAAAACACCAAAGGGGGAATCCATGATAGTGTCCAGTGGTGGTGTTATGTTCCTGAGGTAGTGTCAGATGGGCTTCCTCATTCCGTCCC